TGCCGATGTGTCACGTGAAGATCAAATTGCTAGGAGCATCCTACAATACTGTGGGCGGTGTCTGTAGGTAGAACATCACAAAAAGTCTCATCCTTGTATTTTCTGATGTGGATAGGGACCTGTACCTATGGGTGACTAGTAACCTCGCCTTATCTACACAAGCAACACTGGAGGGATGGGGATGTTGTTCCATAGTAAGTGTCAATTTGAGAGTTGCTATCTCAGAGACCAGATTCCTTGCACTCCCATTATCTGTAACCAACTGGCACTCATGTTTTTGCATCTAAAAGATGTATGGCAAATGGCGATACATTTCCACTCATCATTTTCTATTGGGTTAGAGAAGAGGCATATCATAATATTATAGCAAGGGTGGTCCTCATCCTCTAATCCAGCATTAAGGTCAACTATGCTCTAATAGTATATGGATCCTCATGACATTTTGATAGCCTCATCTAGGGAATCAATAGATTCTCCCTCCAAAGACTCAAGTAGGACCAAGCAGCAATATAGCCCTTTTGCTTAAACTGCAGGTGTGGGGATTGAGATGATTGAAGCACTAGACTCCTTGCTGTTGTTCATTAGGAATTGGGGCTAGAGGATTAAACCTTGATGGCCTAAGGAGAATGCTTGAACAACAATTCTATGTATTTTATGGGGATTAATGTGGATGGTAATGGTTGCGCATGACTAGACTCATCCCAAATTTTTATTTCGCATACCTGGATCCTACTTGAACCCTAACAGAGTAAAGAAATTTATACCTTCCCCAGCTTGTTTTGAGTATCTAAAATACCTGACCTGCCCGGAATAAAAAAATTATATAAAAGTTATGGATAAATAATAGCAAGAAATATGTGGTATATAAAAATAAATATAACAACTCATGTATGTGATATATTTTATCTTTTGTATATCTTGGCATAAATATATTTACAAGGACTTGTTCAGGTTTTGGTATTGGTTCGTCATACCCAAACCTGGCTCCCCCTGATTGTACCTTTTTTATAAACTCAAACAGACTTGACTCCACCCATTTAAAATAAAAAACCTTGTCTGGATGTGATAGCATAGTATTCTTGTAGGTGAGATTGTCACTCCTACCTACAGAATTTCTCTATCTCTAGAGCTTAATGGACTGCTCCCTCACTGTTAGATGGAGAGTAGAGTTTGGCTTCTTTCTTGATTCTAGGGTGCAATTCATGAATGAACCTATCCAATTTCACACTAAGTTCTTTATGTGTCTCACATCTATGCACCATCTCTTCAGTCTTAGCCATGTACACACTAAATCTAGAAGTGACTGCTTAAGATTGTAGAGCTGCAAAATAGGCCATGAATATAAAGGTGAGGAAATACTTGAATCGAAAATAGTCATGTCTCTCCAATGAGTGATTGGTGGATTGCATAATATTTCTAAAGAGTTTTGAATTGTTTGCCAAAATCTTCTAGAAGGCCCTAGTGACTTTGTCTTGGCTAAATATTTTTTCTACGTCATTCAAGTGATAACGCTGTTAGCAGTCTGCTTTGCCACAAAGCTAATCTGGAAAGAAAAAAAAAGAACTTAAGACTCTAAACTCCTATAAAAGTTTGTTGCATAACCTTGATCTTTTACTCATATTGAAGCACTCACCTTAAGCAAACCTAGGATTGTCATGACATTATGGATAAGCTACTTGACCTGTGATTGTAGGGGTCACGTTTTCCACCATGCCTTACATTGATTTTATAGTTTTTTATGGAGCTCATACTAATAGTTGAGATTAGGATTCCAAGCTCTTGCTTTTCATGGGGCTATGCGTAAACCCGGATCCTCAATTGCATTAGGCTGATAAATACTCGTATAATATTACACTTGCAAAAGTGAACCTAGGGTCATAGTACTAAAATTCCTAGATGTCTCAACTCCTTGTTGTCCAAGGTTAACAATTTTACCTTAAATAATTTCAATTAGAGCATTTATTTCTGCCTGAAGTTTGCTTATCTTAGCTTGGAATTCAACCCGGGACACTTGCCCAGGTTCGGAAGTGATAGAACTAGACATTTGGTAATGGTGAAAGAAATAAAAGAAAACAAGAGAAATATCGAGATTGTGCCCATAAAGACATCAGTCAATGATATTTGATATTGTCCAGGTTTCAGGAATGCATCAAGTGGAGGGTTGGCAATGGGAAAATAATCAGTTTCTGGATGAATCCATGGTGCAGAGATGGAGTGTTTTGAGATCAGTTCCACCAGATTTTTGATATTGCATGAAACAAATACATCACAGTCAGTGAGACATTCAGAATCATTGAGGGGGCTCAGGGATGTCATGTAGAGTTTATGAGAAACATAAATGACTGAAGAGTATGAGTCCTTTTCTCAGCTCTATATCCACAATCTATCTGAATTGAAGCAATGATCAACCAGTTAGGAGACTCAGTGCTGTGGATATATACACGATTAAGTCTTTCTATAATTACTTGGCTAAGAACGATTTCACTGAGATCAGCTTTCCATACAAGCAAATTTGGAAGGTGAGTGCTCCCCCAGAATTGCTTTTTTTTCTTGGGAGGCAAGGAGATGATTTCACAATTGACAAGCTAATGAAAAGAGGAAAGATCATGGTGAACGGATGTTTTCTATACAAGGGTGTGGAGGAATCATACAATCATATCTTTTTGTGGTGCTATGTATAAGTTATTGACCATGGTGTATGAATTATTGGGAATTAGTTGGGTTATGGCGGGTAATCTAAGGGATGAGATGTGGTTATAGAAAGGTATCAGTGGTGGGAGGAAGTGAGTGGGTCTTATTCTCCTAGTTATTTTTTGGGTTATGTGGAAAGAAAAAAATAGGAGAGCTTTTGAGGGAGCGAAAGCTGATTTTGATAAAAGATAGATGGTTCCAGATCTTGTGCTTATTGATAATTGGTTATTGCAAGTTACAAAGGGAACCTATAGGTATCCTGCTTGAATTGTAAATAAGTTTTGTACATAGGTTGGTACCCCATTGGTGCTTGTAATTAATGATACACACTGTATTTTAAAAAAAAAAAAAAGAGATTATGCCACCTACTAAACCACTAGGAATTGTAAAACTACTTTGATGAACTTTTCCAAACCGAGAATTCAATTCTAAATCCATGAGAGGACAATAATTCTAGGTAAGTAATGATAGGGCAGGCAATAAACTGGTAAGTAATAAATTGTACAGAAATTTGCACTCTTCTTCTTTTCCTGGTAGCTTTTCATTTGTTTATATATATATGTATATATATATGGATAATAATGAGAAAAAGCTAAAGGAAGGACCTAAAATCGAATTTATCTAGTTCCTAAACCACGATTATATGAGCTTTATAAATAGAAGATCTTTAGTTGTTTAGGGCCCTAAAGAAACCTCGAACTTTATTGTAAAAGTTCTTGGACAAATTAAAAAAAAAAGTTCTGGAGTATAAGTTGGTTAGGAACTGGCATGGGAAAACCATTCTAGGAGAACCGATCTGGTCAACTCTGGATGAACTAGTTAATACAGAGGCCTTCTGATGCAAAAAAGAAAAAGACTTCTGGTTTCTAGAGCATGGGAGTCATGTGCCATCTCTCATTATGGACGTCATGCTTCCAGTTTGCTTTATTTGAGGATCATGGTTCCGTATTTGGTATTGCTGACTGTCAAAGTGACGGAACAGGCTGTCTTCAGTAAGGTAGTGGTGGATCAGGGGTGCTCTTAAGAAATCTGGCTGATACTAGTGCAGGAGCTGCAACTTGGTTGAGGTGCAAAATCTGAGGCTGATGGGAAAGGTAGTGTTTGCAACTTTCCAACAATTACTGGAGGTATTGGCAAGACAGGCGGTTGTTGAGTTATTTATGCACTTTCTTGGCCTTTATGTTTAAATTTATTGGAATAGATTTTATATTATATTTTGTGATTTGGGGAATTTGATGAGAAAAGCATATTTTAGCTTTGAGCCTTTGATTCCAAAACAATGTAGTCCAGTGGAGTAGGATTTAGCACAATTGGAAAAAAACTAAAACCCTCCAATCTGCAAAATACATGATTAGCAATAAGCACAATATCGGCTTAGTAGGCACTTAATCCTTCAGTGGATATGGGTATAAGTTTTATTATATATTTGAGAGTTAGAATAACAAAACAGTAACATAATAGCTCTCCAGCTGATAAGGAAAAATATAATAGCCCTATACTAGTAGGCCTCTTTTATTAGTAATACTATAGAAAAAGATTCATAATCCTATGAGAATAGATCTTTCCAAATAACTGAGATGATTACAGGTCAATAGATTAAATTTGCATCAAGAGATCACTAAAGAAGGCTAAAATGCATTCCTGAAGTTTTCTTTTCTTGTTTGGATGGGGAAAGGCGTCTTTAGGGGTTGTTTGGTTTGATATACGTTTTTTTAAACTTATAAGCATGCAAGATATATAAGTTTAGAAAGCTTATAAGCTCTTGAAAAATAAATGAAAGATATCTTTGTTGAATATTATTTTTATTTGGCTTACAAATTCTACATAAATAGCGAATATAAGTAAAATAGTGATTATAAGTTAAAAAGTTTGTAAAATGGTTGACATGACGCAGATAATAAGTTGATAATCTCTAACAGGGCATTTTGGTAAAAAATATAAGACAAAGTTGGTGTATTAACATGACTTATAAGTTGAAAAAATAAGTTAGTCTTTGGAAATTTTTTTGGACTTGTAACTCAACTATCGCAAAACAAATAATCTTATAACTTATTTCTGGGCACACTAGTTTATATAAGCAAAACCCCACATCCTCCTTGTACAAGTTTTCTAAATTGATACTTCTGCGGAATGGTACTCAGTTCTGCATCCTTTGATGTTTTGTGTCAAATGAACTTCTACTTCAACTCAGGCCAAGTTATAAATCCAAGAGTGCTTAGACTCATATGTGTGGTTATTAATTGAATTGCATTGTGTTTCCTCACTCTGATGCGAAAGCAGTTAGGTTTATAGAAAATTTTGTGGTGCAGGAGAGGCATGAGGATCAATGAGATGTTGACCCATATCAGGGCAGCCTTAAGAAAGTGCAGGGATTTCAATGAAGAATTTGAACCAAATTTGAGTCAGTGAGAACTGAAAACATCATGTATATTTCTAATAATGGCCTGGTCAAGCCTCGGTCATCTCGAACGAAGTTATTGTCGTTGAAGTGTATATATTCTGAGGTATTATCTTCATATGATCCCTTGTAAATCTCTTTTTCCATCCATTTGAGGTTGGTCTGGAGGCTTATTTGGTTTGTATTTTTTTATTTTATTTAATTAATAAAATATCTTTGATAAATAAAAGTAGATCATAAATTTATATTTGACTTACATTTATTTTTATTTTAATTTTCTCGTTTATAGATTTTCAACTACCTAGCTAAGTAGGAAACTAGAACTTTCTCCAAAAAAAAAAGGAAAATGTAAGGTTAATCAGTGGAATTGATTGAAACACGAAGTCTATATTTCAATCTCAAATGTTGAAATCTAACTTCAAGAAGGATATTTACATGGAGTACTTGAATTGTAAATAAATATAAAGGTCGACAAGTTTCTAAAATTACAACCAAGTTTCTTATTTCTAAATGTTTATCAATTTAGTAAAAGCTGAAGTTTGTGAATTCATTCCTTTTATCTTTTTTCATTATATCTTTACATTTCATAGAGAATCAATTGATTTGCCAAAAGTTAGTGGGCTTCAGTTAGTAAGGTTCCCCATAGGAGTATCCCTATGTTTTCCTTAGAAAGCATAGATAATTATTTCTATGGTGAAACCTTGGAGTCCAAGGGGATTCTTTGTCGAGCAATTTCCTTTTTTGTCTGCTTTAGGCAGCGTATGTTCATTTTGTGTTTGTTTTTTACTGTAACAGGGGAATGGATTCAGTTTTTAAGGAACTCTGAAATTATCACGTAATGGTAATGGGCATCCCTCAGAGAAAAGCTAGAGATGTTAGAGGATGAGGATTTGGATAATACATTGGTGACAGAAGACTGCAACATTGTTATATGCAGGAAAAGAGAGGATTTTTTGTCAGACTTTTCTCGAACTAATTTCGTAGTAGAAAAGGTTTTTAGACATTTCTTTAGAATGATATGAAGTTGGAAGGCATTTTTACAGTCAAAAAGTAAGTAAGTGGGCACATTTGGTTTAAATCTTGTAGAACAGGAGTGATGTAAACATAGTTTTATAACCACCCACTGTGGATCTATGATGTATTTATTTTGTCTCTGAAAAATCCGTCCCCCACAAAAAATTCTCCAGGAGGGGAGGACGCAACAGGTGATGGCGCGTAACCGTAATATGAACTTATTACTTAAAAGAAATTTTGTTGTTTTGGTTATTTTTCAGTTTGTCATATTTATTTTCCTAGTATTTATCCCTTAGCAATGATGATCTAGCTTAAGACGATTGTTGCGTGGAAGCTTTCCTTGTTTCTCAAGTCAGATGTATCCTTGCAAGAGGGGAAGAAGATTAGTGTCATGCTACTACATTCCAAACTCTCTAATCTCTCCAAGAATGTCCAAGAAAAAGCCCAGTAGGTTGATGATTGCTCTCCTATTCATTCCGAAACTTTGTGATAAATATTTTATTCTGTTCAATCAAATATGTATTATTTTTCTTTGCGATCAATTATAAGCATAACATGGTACGCTATCCATTAATTATATTTAATATTTATTGATAGTAAATAATTTAAAATACCTTATATTATTAATATATAATATGAAGTTTTTTTTTTAATATTTAACGTAACATTATCACGATATTTTTTATATTTATAAATATATAATATTACGAGTATTTATTTCTCAATTTAAACTGAAAAATTAAATTGGAACCCTCCAATTTATTCTGACTACGAAACTTTAAAAAAAAAAAAAGTTCATTTCATTCTGGACTGAAATATAAAACATAATTTTTAATTTTAATTTTATCTTTTTATTAATTTTCAACTTATAAATAAAGAACTAATACCAGAGCACCCTCGACAATACCATTTCCATTCCGTTTATGCTAAAAATTAAAACAGTTGGGTCTTAAGTTTGATTCAATCTAATTCGAATTGATTCAGATTTTAAATCATTATTTACCTTTTTATAATATATATATATATTTTAAAATATAGAAGGTAAATAAAATTTAAACCGTCAATTATACAGTATAAAAATATTACAGTATCACGTCAAATACTCACAGTTCATCAGCAGATAAAACTGAAAGTAACGTAAAAGAAAGAAAGAAAGAAAACTGCAGAAAAATTAATGCGGAGGGTTCCGTAGGTCAATGGAAGAGTGAGTCATAATCCGAGTTGGCATGAGCGTTTGGACTCGGCCGAGGTTCAGCGTAAGGAAGACGTTGGAGCTTGCATCAGCCAAGGGCCCCACTGAGATTCAATGAATCCGAAAAAACAACCTGAATTGCGTTCTCACTGATCCCCCTTGGAGCCCGTAAAAACCCAGAAAAATCTCTTCATATCCCGCGTGATCTTATCCCCCACCGCTCTCTCTCCTACTTAAAAACGCTTTAGGCTATTATCCAACGGTTAAGAACACAAATATATATTATTAAATAAAAGGTTTAGAAGAAGAAGAAGAAGAAAAACAAAGGCAAACCCAAGAATTTAACCATTTTTTCCTCGTTTTTGTCTTAGCTGTTTGCCACCTGATCTAATGTAGAGCCAAAAGGATTGGCCAAGTGTGACTGTGAGGAATAACAGTGAGCTCGACTTTGGACACGACATACGAGCAATCTAGTTCTTCATGCCAAGTATCAGCTAAATTTCATCTACAGACACGTTTCACCTTCTGCCCAATTACACCATTCATCATTTCTCTCCTATAAATATATATCAACTATATCCTTTTAGACCAATGTGCCTGCCTATATTCTCCAACAACACCCCAAAAAAAAAAAAAAAAAAAAGAACGAGAAACAATCACTCCTTCCCAGCTGCTGCAGACAGAGTTTTGTGTTTGTGTTGGCATTTATATACCTGTATATATATATTTATATATGTACATATCAATATGTCAAAATCAGTGATGGAGTCAAGTTCAAGAAAGGGCTGCATGAGAGGCAAAGGTGGTCCAGAGAATGCTCTGTGCACCTACAAGGGAGTTCGTCAGAGGACTTGGGGAAAATGGGTGGCTGAAATCCGCGAGCCCAACCGTGGTGCGCGTCTCTGGCTCGGCACTTTTGATACCTCACATGAAGCTGCTCTGGCTTACGATGCAGCTGCTCGTAAACTTTATGGTCCTGAAGCTAAGCTCAATCTGCCTCAACAACCATCTAATTCATCCAACAACACTCACCTAATTATTCCCCAAATGGGTAACCAATTTCCCAATCATCGAACCTCTGCTCCTTCTTGTTCATCAAATAACGATTCGACCGTGCCATGTCCTGATTCAAAGGTTGAGTCCAGAGGTAACCTGGTTGATAGTAATGTCAAATTTGGAAAGGATGAAGATGGGATGGAGGAGATTTGGGAGAACATGAGCCTGAATTTGCCTGTGTTTGATGATTCAATCTGGGCAGAAGCTGCTATGTCATTAGGGTTCCCAACAATGGAAGATCCAGGGATTTTAGGAGGTAATTTCGTCGATACAACCGGGTGGGATTCCTTGCACTCTCCTCCATGGTGCAGTTAAGAAAACCAACCTCCCACCTACATATGCATAGTTAATTAATCTTCAAATAGCAATATTACATGTAAATGCTGGCTTTCTCTCTGTGTATATATACATATTTATATGTCATGTATGTGTATATAAAGAAAAAAAACTGCAACCGACCTTAGTATTATATATGTAAACTGTGTAACGGTTATGAAAGACCGGCCGAATGGGTTTCTCGAGGTTTTGTCTGGGGCCTCTTTATGAATGTCGTATGCGTGATAAGTCACGTGCTATAATACCAGTATTTTGTCTTCTGTATTTTTCTTTTTACTGATGAAATTAACATATCTAGAGATAGCAATATGAATATAAAAATTTTATGTCGATCTTCGCGTCGAACATCTCCCATAATATTTGACATATGTTGGTCCAATTGTGTAGTGTTTTTTTTTTTTTTTTTTTGGCACTCATATATGTATATATATCTATAATAAGATAAAGAATTGCAGCCAGTGGAATGCCAAAGATTTTTACACAAGAATATTTGAGTTATACGGGAAAAATGTGCTTCCAACTCGGGTCGATATCTTAGGTTCACTAATTAAACAATGAATTTGAATAATATGTGTGAACTAGTTAGATTGTGGTCTTACATATGTTATAAATAAATTAATTATTTATATAAAAAAGAATTTTAAAATATTATATATTTATATAATAATGTTAGAACGAGATATGATTAAACAGATTATATATAGTGTATGATAATAATAAATTGTTCATAATAATAATAATAGCAAAACAAAAGTCATAAAATTATATTTTTATTATTTATCAGCTTTACAATATTATTCTCATGGATAGATTAAAGAAATAGTCATTAATATTATCTTATAAAGTATTTTTTAAAAAAATGTATTTTTTATTATAAAATATGATATATCTAAATTACATATATGACAAATAATAAGATTGCATAGACAAATGGAAATTATATAGTACAATCAACATAAACATATAGTAAAAAAATACTTATAATTCCTCTACTATCAATTAGCTAGCCAGTAATAATGCTCTATCATGATCCCCCACAACAATATGCTACACCATCCTTCTTTATTACAAATTGTTAACTTTATTCATAGATCGAGGTGTAGAAATTACTTCCCATCACTAGTGAGGTAAGAAACCATGAACAATATTTCTCTTTATCAAAAAGTTTTCCTACTTCCTAGACAACCCTTTTACCAAGGTTTAAAATACATGAAGCAAACGAGATCATGATTGCATGTGATGATGAAAGTTAATGATATTTAACAAGTGACATCATAAGCATAGACCTTGTATTCCTAGAAAAATCCTAAGCGACACCATGTGCACAACTCTATTTAGACAAGATTAAAAAAAAAAAAATTGATATAATTATATTAGATATAAAAAAAAATTGTTTAAAAAAACAAAGATAATCATAAGATCAAAACTGATGATAAGAAAAAAATAAACATATTTTACACTATTAAAATCGTAACAAGCCTCTTAAATATATTAAACTAATTATTTTATTTAAATTTATAATAATTTATCTGTACTCGAATAATCACGTACATTTACTTATTCAAAGTCTAAAAAAAATCGATAAAGAATATAATAATTTAGCAAGTTTTAAAAAAATTGTAATGTGCTAGTAAGTAACATTTGGAACAAATTCAAATTTATGTTAAATTCATTTAAAAATTCACATTTATTTTTAATTTAAAAAATAATGAAAGTCCAACATAAAATGATAAAGATTAGATTTATCTAAAATTTCATATAGAATTAAAACAAGACATTGCAAATTCTAACAAATTTGATGAAATTTTGTAATGCATTGATCTAATTCTAACCTAAAATTTTAGGTAATCTCAATTTTTATCATCTCAGCTGACCTCAATTTTTATCATCTCCTATGGTATAGACTTCTCCTAATTAAAATGAATATTGATTTACAAATGAACTTTCATATAAGCTTTGGAGTTGTTCCAAATATGTATATAAATAGATTGTAATTTCATGTATTAGGAATAGTTCTAGAGATCCATAAGAAACTATACCATATGTATTAAGGAATGATAATTTTCATAATAAACTGTAAGCAAGCATATTTAATTTCATGTATGTACTAAGGAATGATAATTTACATAATAAAACTCATAAGCAAGCACATGACATCTTTCTTTGCTTCATGTACTGCAACTTTCATTCTTGGGCAAATCTTCCATCTTGCTTTACCGCGTAACAAAATCATTCTTTAAAAAATAAATCATAAATTTTGTGAAATCGATCAGATAAAGTAGTCATTGGGCCACTTCTACCCTTCCCATTTTTTGTAGAAAAAAAGAAAAAAAAAAATTTACAGCTACTGACAAAATGCGTCCAAAATTTCAATTACCAAAACGACACAAAACTACTGTTAATAGAACGATGAAGAAAGCATTCTCCCATAAAATTTATTTTGTGAGTTATGATACAAATCTTCCATAAACTACCTCCTATATCATCATACCTCCCTACGCCCAAGGCACTTTAGCCTCAGAGGTGTTTCTCCAGTACAGAGTTCTCTTAGAAATTATAAGAGGTCTATATGGCAATTTGCCTCCTTTAGTTTAAGATTGAAGATCTAAGAAAACATAAATAGATAAATTACTGTTGCACACTCCTTCAAATTTTACCGAATTGAGTCATTAGATTAAGGGGTTCAAAAGGTATCAGGTACCTTACAATGTCTGGAAAGGCACAAAACGTTTTCCCATATGAGAGAATGAATTGCTTTAAGTGACCGCAATTGGGTCCCCTATTCCATTTGCACCTGCTTTTGGTATCATGCTGAACAATCCGGAAAGTGGCTGTCTAAGCCAATCAAGAGCACAAATGTGACACAATTTCACCAGACTATAAGCATCCTAATGTATAGTGAAATTATAGTGGTGCATATGCGTATAGACAGTTGAGTTCCCTGCAGCTGTGCTTCATTACAGGGTAAGAGCTAAAAACAGCAGGGCAGAACCTCTCAGCTAAACAGAACCGAAATTCCTCAGTTGTAAGACGTCAGAACCTGATTTTACATCACAGATAATCCCAATTCCTAAGGCTTAATATAAGCAAGTATAAATATACAAGCCATAACATATCAACCAAGCCACCATGAACAAATCAATATGCACAGAGTTGAACCAAATTGCAAGTCATTTCTGACCAAATCCTGAAAGGAGGTAAAACCTCACCAAATCAAGAAACACCCACATGCATAGAGACAGCCTGCTTCATAGCTTTAAATTTATCCTGGCATTGATGTTAACGTCCATCTGAAGAGACCTTACAACAAGATCATACATGGCTAATAAGCAGAGGCCTGTGACTTATCAAGTACAGTCAAGGCGCTTCTTCAACTTAGCTCTTGAGAAAATCCTTCAAGCAAAAAGGAGGATGCACGTCCTACAAGACACAAAAGTTCAACAATGTGAGACATCCACATGGGCTGTGACTTTTAGATCATTTACTTTTCCTACAATAACTGCAACAATCTCAACTCCCTAACATCCACCATGTGGCAAACTTCTTCGTCTAGCAGGTTGGATAGACATGTGCTGAAGTGACTTAAAAAAGCCAATGAGAAGCATTCTATTTC